TCGTCCCCCCGCCGCTGGTAACGTTGACCAGCTGCCTTGGATTTGGGATTAAGCGGCGTTCCCAAACTAAACGGGTGGTTGTCAAAATTAGGGTCCCTTTTTGGGTACCCCCTTTTTAGGGACCCCAAATATTAAGTGCCATATTATATTAAGGACCCAAAAAGGGACCAACCACCCAAACCCTAAACTTGAGACGGCTCGGTTCAGGGTGCCGGGTTTGGGAACTCCAACATACATACTTGGGCCTTGATAGTTGCAATTTAGAAGCTGCCCCCACCCTGTAATAGTGACTGTAAGGATCATATTAGGGCCCTATTATATTCCTATTATACCACTATTATAGGGTGGGGGCAGCTTCTAAGTTGCAATTGGCTTTCGGTGGGATAACCTAATTAGTCGAATTGTAAGAAGGAGCCTGAGGGATGTTATGGCTAAATGCTTCAGACCCTGTCTTACCCCCCTCCCCCCCAGTAGGACATAAAACTTACCTTTGGTTCGTAGGGAATGGAGGAATGGCGCACAATTATAACTACTATTACTACCATTCTTCCATTCCCTACTAACCAAAGGTAAGAAAGAAGAAAGGTTAACCATGTTTAAATTTTCAAGCTAGACGCCCTGGCCAAGCCATTTAAACACAAACCTCGGCCCGGTTTAAGGTGTTAGTGTTACTGTTAAGCGTACTTGGAGGGTCGGGGGACTTGGTGACTGGTTATTTTAGGGACCTATAAGTACCATAACCCCAATTAAGGTTCCGTTTAGGGTACTTGTAAGTCTACTTACTACCTACTTACTAAGTCCCCCGACCCTCCAAGTAGTGGCCCTTTCTCCACTGCAACAGCGGGTCTAGCTCCTACCTCTTCCGAGGTTTTAGGGTTTAGGGTCTGGGGCTTGGGGGCTTTTAAGCGGTGTTAGACCCAGGATGACATGATGACCCGAAGCAAGCGACCGAATCTCTTGGAACCTCAGGAATCTTGGCTTGGCTGCGTGGAGGCCAATATAGAAGCCTAGGGCTTAAGGTTGGGCTTAAATTCAAAGCTGAAAGTTTTGGGCTTAAGGTTTATTAATCATGACTCAATACCAATTGTGTGAAGGCCACTTTACCCCAAAACCTTAAAAGGAACCTTATTCCCAATAGTCATGAAGGCCCCTATGCCAAGGGCCTACTTCAAGGATTTCGTCTGTTGGGAATTTATTATTGACGTTGCAGATTTAAAGTGCTCATAGGGATATAGGGTATACAGTCGCTAAGCCCTAAACTCCTAAACCTTAAACCCCTTACTTAAACCCTAAACGCCTCGGGATTTCGGGTGGATGGTCCAGGACTGGGTTTTTATATCAGCTACATGGCCAACAATGTGTCCATTTAGGGCTTGGGGTTTAGCCTGCAGGCCTACAAGCATTTGGGTGACTTTCGAGATTGATTGAATTTCAGTGGTTCATCACCGGACATCACGGTGAATACTGTTGCTTCATTATGAATTTTGAACATTGCTATAAACCCTATATAAACGATAAACCCTAAACGCTAAACCCTAAACGAACCCTAAACGCTAAGCCTGTCACTGTCAGGCAAGCTTCTGCGTGGAGATGCGCTCGACAGGCTCGTTCCTGTCGAGTCAGACAGAGCGACAGTAATAAGGCTGAGCCAATCCTTCCCTAGGGATCTAAGGACTCATGTATTAAGGCTTTTGGGCCCAAAGACCATACTACATAAGGCTTTTGGGCTATTTTGATCCCTAGGAACTTTCACCCACATAGCTACACTATGGTCTGGGCTTATACAGTGTGTATAATACTCCAGCATTGAAAAGTTTGTCGTTGCAACTCTGTTGCACCGCCGAAACCTACACCCTAAACTAAGAACGAACGTTAAGAATAAAATCTGACCCCACAGCCCTAAACTAAACGCCAGAACTGTTTATTAACAGCCCTGCAAAAGCTTTCACTCCTCAAGCTTTCGATACAAAATAAAGAGCATGGCACTACTATGAGTTCCTTGGATAGCTTCTCGGCTTCTCGGGTGCAAAGTTTAGCGAACAAAACCACTGAGCCGTAACATCCAAATCTCATCTGCCAAACCCAAATCCCAAAGACCTAAACCCCAAGACCCCAAGACCCTACACCGCCCTAAACCCCCCAAGACCCTAAACCCTATGCCCGAAGCCCCAAACCCAAGGGCCTGGACCCGAAACCCTATGGCCTGAACCGGAAGAGTCCTGCAATAATTTAGGGGCCTTCCCCTAGGGATCTAAGGACTCATATATTAAGGCCTTTGGGCCCAAGGGCCATACTATATAAGGCTCTTGGGCTGTTTCGATCCCTAGGGTTCATTACTTGAACAAGGTTTGGTGGGTATCTTCATACTATTACTATAGCTAAATCGGGAAGGGATACTACCACAAATCATTTCGACACCTATAGCCCAAGGCTCCCAAGACGGGATTCGGCGAAGTGAGAAGCGAAGCAGAATGCTTACATGTGTCAGAGTTTCGCTGCGTTTTGAAGGGGCCTTTTTGTTGCTATTTGCATTTGTAGTTGAGGGCTGTTTGTAGGAGTTGGGGTCGGCTTTATGGTGGGCTTAAAAAACTTCACGAGCCTAGGCTCTAGTGTCCTTCAACTCAAAGGTGTTGCGGTACACATGAGGAATCCCACCCCAGGATTTTTTCAATAAGGGACCGCAGACATACCGTAACGGTTATACCCCCTAGGAGTAGACGTTTAGGGACTGTCGGCTTTCGCAGGGGTTCAGCTGCTGCCACTATACCCGGAGAGCCCAGTACCCTCTAATTAAGGAACATACCTCAAATTATAAGGGCCTTAACATTATGCTTTAAGAAAATTTCCTAAATTGATCAAGGGCTACTGGGCTCTCTGGTTACCGGTTGGGGCCTGTCTCTAGGGATAGGGCATGCGAGACTGGCTGGAGTTCGGCGACCCTAGGGTTTAGGGTTTAGTGTTTGGCCAAGTTTTACAGCCAGACTCAAGTAAAACTGTTGCAAGATGCAGCGGCAAAGTCCAAACAACAAACCTCTTAGCGAAATTGAAGGTTTTTCCGTCCCGGGTATTGATAACAGCCTTACCACCCTCAGCGCTGGACTCACCGTGGTTGGTACTATGATGGGACAACTCATATTGTACACTTCCAAGCTCCCCCTGCTGACTTGTGGTAGGTAGTGCGTCGAACAAGCCCTACACTCCTGCAGCTTAAGGCCTTTTGTTTAGGGCTAAATAGACTTCACCTGTAATCTTCGTACCCTGATCGGTATAATTTAGTATATAAGGGCTTTTGTGATGAGAACACAGGTTTTGGGTGACAGCATATTTTAACTTACCTATGGACTGAAAGGGGATACTATCAAGTCACTTAATGTTCCAACGCCTATATTACACTGACCCATCAGCCCCTGAACATGGCTGCGTCGAAGCCGCATTGATCCCACTGCGGAGCTGAGAGCACAGCCACTGGCTTCGCTATTTCTGTGCCGTCGTTTCTAGTGGGATGTAACTGAACTTTGACTACTAGACCTCTCGCTGAAGTAGTCCTATCTATACGCGTAGTTGAGCCTGTGTGCGTGCAGAACGGTGACTAGTTTGTCATCCTGTTTCCTGTCTTGTTGCAATACCAGAATGGTTGTTGATCTTCTTGTTGTGCAGTTGTCTTCTGTGCTTTGTGTAGACCTGGACCTTTTCTGTGCATTGCCATGCTGGAATCTTTCTTCGTCGGCGAGACGGCTGCCGTGAGACGGTGAGAAGACATGCCCCTAAGTTCACCCCTGAGTTCAAGCATGGCACCATAGCGAAAATGATAAGGACAGCATACCAAGACTACTACTACATTACTACACACTGCCACTGCCGACGCCACCGGACCGGCACCACTGCGACTACGACTGCAACCACGACGCCACTGAGAATCTACTACTGCTGCTTTTGCTTTGGTTGTATTGCTGCTGGTGCTTCTACTACTGCTACTACTACTACTACTGCTACTACTACTGCTACTAATTACTACTACTACTACTACTACTGCTACTACTGCTACTACTACTACTACTACTCCTACTCCTACTGCTACTGCTACTGCTACTGCTACTGCTACTGCACTGCTTCTGCTGCTGCTGCTACTACTACTACTACTACTGCTGCTGGTCCTGCTACTAATGCTACTACTACTACTACTACTACGACGACGACTACTACTACTACTACTACTCCTACTACTACTACTACTGCTCCTACTACTGCTCCTACTACTGCTACGGCTACTGCTACTGCCACTGCTACTGCACTGCTTCTGCTACTGCTACTGCTACTGCTACTGCTGCTACTACTATTACTGCTGCTGGTACTGCTACCAACGCTGCTACTACTACTACTACTACCACTACCACTACCACTACCACTACTACTACTACTACTACTACTACTACTACTACTACTACTACTACTACTACTACTACTACTACTAGGACTTACTAGGACGACGACGACGACGACGACTACTACTACTACTACTATGACTTCTTTCTACTGCTACTACTGCTACTAGTGCTGCTACTAGTACTGGTACAAGTACTAGTACAACTACTACTACTGACTACCACTACCACTACTACTACGACGACGACGACGTCGAGCACTACAGGCTTCAGGAATCGTCCCCTCGACACTCTCAGGACACGGGTGCAAAAGGGACTAGGGTTTACCAGGTGCGACCATGATCTGCTTGTACTTGGAGGGTCGGGGGACTTAGTAACTGGTTATTTTAGGGACTTATAAGTACCATAACCCCAATAGGGTTCCTTTTAGGGTACTTATAAGTCTACTTACTACCTACTTACTAAGTCCCCCGACCCTCCAAGTAAGGCCCCTGTACATTCAGCGTGGACTTGGACCCTGACAAACTCAAAGGTCCCTCAACCTTCAAACCCTACAAATTACAAGCCCGACTGAAACCCGATGTTAGGCAGCTTAACATTGGCTTCTGGCGGACGCTCCTTGAGGATCAGGAAAGCCATGGTGCGGGCGTAGCCGAACGACGCTGCAAACACTACGTTCGCCATGGGAACAACCTGGCGAGGCTTGAGGGCGTTTAGGCTTTGCAGTAGGGTTTGGGGGTTTCGGGCTTGGCTATTTCCATCCTTAAGAAATCCTCTGCCAAGCCTCAGCAAGGATAGCTTCAGAATGAAGCAGTAGATATGATGGTGTTTTTTTGGGGTGTGTGTATACACACATATATATATATATATATAGATATAGATATTTTGTGTGTTCTCTTTCTTTACTATTTTCCTCTTTCTGTTGCAGAAACACAGGAACATATCCGCGTGTTATTTGTTGTTTGTTGCTTGATGTTTCTTGCGTCTTGTTTGCATTCTGTTTGTGTTGCTTGTTGTTTATGGTTTGCTGCTGGTTGTGCATCGTTCGCAGTCTGTTGTTTGTTGTGCGTTGTTGCGTCAAAAAAAGGAACAAAAAACAAGACACAAATACTGAGTATGTAACCAAAGGCAAAAAGACCTGAGAATAACAGAAAAAGAACCAACAACCAACTCCACAAGTTGACTAGAGCTCGAACCTTCAAATACCCAAGCTCCTTAGAAGGTGATCCTACAGCACCCCCTGCGCTCTCGCTGAGAGGGCTGTTCTCAGACCCTGTAGGTCTTTACAAACTTCCTGGCAAAACTCCCGAATCGTAAGCCCAAACATAACACCCAAGGTCCGCCGGGCCGACCCATGGCCAGCCAAAGAGCCCAGGAGTTGCCTAGAGCTTGACACGGGCATTGCGCTGCAATTTTTCACGGTCTTTTTAATAGGATTGAATTGTTGCTTATATGGTCCTATAGCAATGTTCAGGCTTATAGCAAGGCGTTGTAGGGTTTTGCGAAGGTCTTTGCAAGGTGTTATTGTAGGCGTTTGTAGGTCCTGTATTGCACTGAAACAAGGGCCCGTTGTTTGCAACTTGGGGACTTGAGGGAATTCAGGCGGTTTTGGTATGTTGACGTCATGGAGCTTTGGATGTTTTACCGTTCCGGTGGGTCAGGTGGCATGAAGGGAATGTAGGGGGGGGGTCTTAGTAATTAAACAGGGTTCCGTTCACGGTTTCTTTCAGGGTGATTATAGGGAGTCTATAGTTCGATTCGGACTTAAATGTGGACTCAAATAATTAGAACCGGGCTTTGGTGGTATAGTATGATACAAACAGCTTGATTCAGGAACCCATTGGAATAGTACTGGTACAAATATTCATGTCCCTACATGAACCCAGGTACCGTAATAATATTTGGACTTGCGAGTTGGCATACATTATACGGCATGCGGTGTGCGTGCATACCGACGATAAGGGCATGCCATTAAATCTTCTTTCAAAATATGTCGTAGAGAGTTGTGTTGAGGGACCCTTTATGTTTGGACTGACCCTCGATTTGGGAGTACCCCATCTAATATAAGGGCCAAGCAATCACCGATATTGTTCCTCAGGGTTCCTTGTTCTAGGTGTACTACAGCATCCCCCGAAACCGTACTGGAGTCTGCTGAACCCTCAAGCCCCAAGACCCTAAACGCCCAAACCCTACCCGAAACCCCAACATAAACCCTAAACCTCAACCATACTGCAACCCTAAACCCCTAACCCCAAACCCTAACATAAACCCTAAACCTCAACACCCTACCCGAAGCCCTAAACCCTTTGAGGCCTCAGTACTACTTTCCCTCCCAGCCTCGGAGCCCCTTCGAGCAAAGACTGTTTACAGTAAACCCCGTAAAGTTGGAAAGTTTAGGGTTTAGGGTTTAGGGGTTTAGGGTTTAGTCTAGGGTTAGGGTTTAGGGTTTAGGGGTTTAGGGTTTAGTCTAGGGTTAGGGTTTAGGTGATAGTTTAGGGCTCTAGTTCGGCCTGGGGTCTTCAGTAAACCCCATAAAGTTGGAAACCGGATTAAGGCCAAATAGTGCTGGGATTCCCTATACACTACTCTTAAGGATTGAGTCTATTGGGTTTCCAACTTTATGGGGTTTACTGTAGGGCTTAGGGTATAGCGGGATTTAGGTTCATCGGGGTTTCGGTTGAGGTTATCGCCATCGCGATTCGGGGTCTTGGGGTTTCTGTGTAGGGTTTAGAGGTCCAAGGGGGATTGGGGGTTGGGGGTTTGGGAGGGCTTACGGCCTTCGAGTTGCAGGAGTTTGGGCCTCTTCGCTGACAGACCCGTGGTTGAAGGTCACCTCCTGAACCCTGAGCCCTAAAACCCAAGAGAAAAACTCTATACATGACACAAAAAAGCCTTATCAAACCCTATGTCATAAGGTTTCATTTTACCTCATGTGTTTATGAACTCTGTGCTGTAAGCAAATCCGACCAGACCAGCTCTCGTCGTAAACGGCCAAGTGGCCTCCGATGGCTTCGCTTTCGCCGCGGCCAGGACCTCGAGAAACGAAGTGGGACATGGCCCAAATCAGGACCACGAGGATTGTAGCAGGCATCTACAGCGTTTCATACGGGGTTTACAAAAAGGAGTTCAAGGGTTTAGCGCTCCCTTGTTGGTACGGTTTCGTGACAACGATAGCCAACCCAATAGCTAGTGTCAATTTCTACAGCTCGGTGCCCAAACGTTGTATACGAAGAATGTGACTGATGTTCGATGATTCTAATTTCGTTCAATCCGAACCCGAGGCCGTGACACCGATGCGAAAAGCCCGTAATCTTGGCAAAACCCCAAACCCAGAAAACCCTTAAACAGTCTGGATTTTGACGGGCGGTGCGACACAACTCTGGCAACGGCGCCGAAACCCTGAACCCCACTTAAAAACATGGGATACTCCTAAACCCAAGTCAAGGCTTTCGAAGCCTTTGACTTAACTGCGGCCGTTCCTTGCCACGTGCACATTTTAAGCAATGCGAATGCACAGGGCTTAAGAGGCTTGGCTACGGACGTGGGGGCAGCCCTGCCCCGTCTTCCTTGAAGACTCCGCAGCTGCTGCTCACGTCGCACTCAACTAGCATTTCAGGTTTTCTAGATGCGATTTCCAAAAGTCGCAGCAACATGTCCGCTAAAGAAACCAATATGCTCAGCCAAATCCTCAAAGTTCCTGGATGGAAACTGGCGAATTCCTGTAAACCTACACACTCTTTCACACAACTCCGCGTGAGCTAAGTTGCATCCTTTGGCTACAACTTAACTTCCGCATGATATATAACCAATCCGGTCCATATCGATTGCTGCTCTTGCTTGCTCTTTTAATTTAGGTCTACAACTGCATGTTGCAAAACAAAAGAAAGCAAACAGATAAAATTCAACGAACCTCAGGTGGGTCGGGCGGGAAGGAAACAACTGTAAACCCTAAACCCCGAAACCCTAAAAGCCTAAATCCCTATACGCCCTAAACCCCTACATCCTAAATCCCAAAACCCTAAAACCCTAAACCCCTCGCTCGCATGGGAGCTCACGACGGAGGCAGCGAGGAGGAAGACGACGATGAATCCGCCAAGGCGCCTTTTGATGGGTTTTGGGCTTATCTTAAAGAGGGTTTCGGGTTTAGTGTAGGATTTCGGGTATAAGGCTTAGGATGAGGGCTTAGGGTCTAGGGTTGAGGGCTCAGGGTTTATAGTGTTTAGGTTGAGGGCTTTTTTTTGCACCCCTTTTCTATATGGCCCAAAGATCACGAGAGGCAGGCCACGCCAGGACAGCTCATTGGGAGGGTCCCCATCGTCTGCAATTCGAACCAGGCGCAAGACTGGCTCCCGCCATAGTCACCGCAACCGCATCCGCGACTCCTATGTGCACCACCTCGAGCCCGGTCCTGTGGGTTGCATACGCACCGAAAAGTGTTGCTACGGAGGGCATGCGCCCAGGCCGTCCCCGTCGCCGTTGTTGGCCAGCCAGTCGTCGAGCGAGAACATGGCAGTCTGCACAGCAGCTCGGTCTCGATGTCCTGGTGGAGGGCAGAATAATCCATCGGCCCAAAAAACGCCAACGTTCAGCAGGGCCCCCGCAGCCGGCGGTGCTGGCGCAACCGGCCCAAGCAGGTTTGCTTCCTGCGCGTCACCCGCTGCCAAGTGGCTCGTAGCTGAAAAGTTTAGGGTGTAATTTGGGTTTACTGTTTTAGGTTCAGTATTTAGGTTTACGGTTTACAGTCGTGTTCGCGTTTAGGGCTTTGGGGTCAGGGGTTTCCTTATAAACCCTACAAGGCTTTGGCAGTTAATGAACTGGCAGTTCAGGGCTTTGGGTTTAGGGCTTCATCAAAGTACCAGATGTATTACGGGTTGTAAAAGGGTACTATAGGGTTCAGCACTTTTGGAGTATAGGCTTTAGGGTTTAGAGCGTAGGGTTTTCAATTACCATAGCTAGGATACCCAGTAATCTAAGAATAAAAAGGCCTCTCTTTCTGGTATTGGGTAACTTTATAAGGAACCTAGGACTACAAAAAGGGAATAAGGGTACTACTGGGCATCCTAGCCCCTAATTTTCGGAAACCCTAAACCCTTTATAGAACCCTTATAGATCCCTTTAAGGAACCCTTATAGATCCCTAAGGGTACTACTGGGCATCCTAGATAGTGTTTTATAGGCCCTAAAATCAGGGCTCGGTTTCGGCTTCCTTTAAGGGTTCCGAGAAGGCTCCCCTGCACTGCAGGTTCTATGAAGGGGCTATATCAATCAATCAGGGATACCTTAAGGGATGCGGTAAGAGATACTGTAGACTACGAGGGTTTCTGTCTGTAGTCACCGTTGTAGCTCCTCTAGTGATTACTAAATAACCTGGGCTGGATCAAAACAAGAAAACAGGGGAGACTATACACCACTATCGAACCATAAACCTGAGTCTCAACGCTGCACATAGTAGGCTTTGTCGAATACTCGCGAGAATCCCAAAGATGTGAAAAGGACCCTACGAAAGAAGAAATCAACAACATACTTGGAGGGTCGGGGGACTTAGTAAGTAGGTAGTAAGTAGACTTATAAGTACTCTAAAAGGCACCTTAATTGGGGTTATGGTACTTATAAGTCCCTAAATAAGCAGTTACTCAGTCCCCCGACCCTTCAAGTAGAGCTTTGAGGGAGTCCTATACCGGCTTAGGCTTCTCCTAAGCTTGAAGCCCGAAACCCTAAACCCCTAAACCCCCAACCCTAAAGCCTTCGAAAAACACCACAAAGACCCAAAAACCCTCACCGAAAGTTTAGGAGCCCTAAAGTTTCAAGGAACCAAAAGTACCCTGATCAAGAATTTAGGAACCCAGGAAGCAACCTGAACCCTAAACCGAAAGTGCCTGAAGTTGGTGAAGGCTGTCATCAGGCGACTGATGGGGTCGAAACCGTAGATGACAACGTTGCTCCAAAGGAGGACCTGAAACTCTCGTCCGAAGGTTTGTAATAATTAGAATAGGGTTCCTTTGAAAGGGTCTATGAGGGCTACTGGAAGAGGGATCTATAAGGGTACCATGATTTAGGGGCCTTAATAGTTAGCATAAGGTTTAAGGAGTTTTGGGGCCCATTATACCATAATTATAATAAGGAACCCCCTAAATAGTGCTAGCAATAAGTCCTCTTTAACTATACAAGTTCTGTAAAGGTCCATCTAGGGTCCTGTAAGGTGTGTTCAGGGTTCTGCTCAGAAACTTGTTGCCTAGGGTGTGCATGGCGTCGCGTAGATATAAATCGGTATATATATATATATATATATATATGTATGTGTTGTATATGTATCTATGCATAGGTATATGGATATGTACATACGTAGGTGTATGAAAAATGTATATGCATATGCTTATGCATATGTATAGATGCATAGATGTATGCATGTGTGTGGGTATGCAATGTATGTAATGTGTTTAATGTCTATAATGTATGTATTCTAATTACCTAATGTATGCATGTATGCATGCCTGTATGTATGTATGTATGTAGCTATAGGTATGTATGTATGCATGCATGTACGTATGTTTGCTCGTACGGTTAAATGTTTGCATGTGCGTATATTCGTACATACATACTCATACATACACGCGTATATGTATACGCGTAAACAAATATAGACACACATATGCATATATAGATAAAAAATACTTCTGCATCTTTTTGTTTTCATACTTCTGAATCCGTGTAGGGCTTCCTGGAAATTTCCATAACTACTGTTCTAGCATCGTCCTAGCAGTCGTCATCAAAATCACGCTCACAACCACAGCCACAATCACCACCATCAGCATGGTCTCGCGCCCCCCCATCCCCCCCTCTCCCTGGCCACATGCCATATGCTGCATCCGATGCCCGAAGCAGCACCACAGTCACAGGCAGTTCAATTTGTTGAAAGCTCCTTAGGACCTTAGGAACAGAGCAGCGAGTAGAAAAAACTGCTTAACACCACTTTACTGTACATGAAACTGAAATCTCAAAACCGCAAACTCTTGACTCCCCTATACCATCTCACTTGAGAGCTGCACCTAAGCCCTGAACCCTTAAACCCTAAAACCGGAAGTTTAACAATGGACCCGAACATAGTACCTTAAATGGTATGATCCTTATGAATAAGGACCCCAAAACCGGGTACCCCTAATTTTCGGAAATTCCCGTAGGCTTATGCAGACAGGGAGCGAGCTGCCCATCCGAGTAATGCAGGCCTCTGTGAGCCAGCGGACCAGGACAAGCGATCCGAATCGTTGCTGTGCACACAAAAAGCGGCACATATGTGCAGTTTAGTCTTGTGTGGATGTACTTGGAGGTTCATGGGTAGTCATAAGTGGGCTCAGAAGTCCCCTAATATGGGTTGTAACTATAGTTACCTTACTTATAAGCCCACTTAAAACGACCCATGAACCTCCAGTAGGCCCTGAACCCTACACCCTTGTGCAATCCCTATAGATCCCTTTAATTGGACCTTTAAACCGTCAAGTCTCCACCCTAAATCGCGCGCCCGACCCAGCCTTTACGATACCATTCTTGTAAACCCTACCCAGAGGGTCCATACACACTGCAATCATGGAATTAGGTACCACAAGACCATCCCTATTATGGTATTGGGGGGCCGAATTCCATCATGGTAGTGTGTGTGTGTGTATATATATATATATGTAATACCACATGTATATATATATATATATATACATATATATATATATATATATACATATGGACCCTCTGGGATAGTGACCCTCCATTGTCCATTGGTAGCCCTTATAGTAACCCGGAACGTGCTCCAAGCTGCATGCGATGGGATTCACGGAGGGCAGCACACCGAAGCTGAATGCAGCACCGAGGAACAAGGCCTCTGGGCTTCCCAGACCCCCGCGAGGATCTAAAAAGTAGATCCCCTATTTCGGGGCCATATACTCTGGGTTGGGGATTCGGGTATGGAGTTTACGTGTACCTTAACCTACCAAAGCCTACAAACAAGTAGGGCCCCTATAACTTTAATTCCATGTTAGGGTTGATTGTAAGAACCTACAAAAAGGTAGGGTTTGGTAGGTTAGGGTAGGGATGAGGCTCAGGGTTTAAGATTTAGGGTATATACAGCAGATAGGACCTGGCTTGCTGCCATTTCTGGCAGTTAAATGATTCCTGGAACGCTTGCCCGCAACAACCCGCACCAAACCGAAACGAGAAATCCGAATGTAGGGGCCTTAACAGTCAGAACACGGTTGCGGGGTTTCTTGAAGTTTCTTGTAGCATTTAGAGGGGCGATAAGTTGGGAACAATACCACTACTTGTGGAGACCTCCATATCAAAACTCCTTTCAGGGAAGTTCTGCCTTGCCCAAGCCTTGCCTAGAGTCTCATGTGCTTGCTGTTGTTTGGTCAACTCCTTTAGTAGAAGAAGGCCCTGACCTTGGAGTAAGTAGGTTAGCCCAAAAGATGAAGACAGTTCGGGGTCCATGCACTCCGAAAATCTGCACCACTACACATATCTCATATCCCTGTATAGTCCTTTTACAAGTATGCTGTAACATACCCTGCAACCCTGTTGGAATTAAGACCCCAATACTTCCCCAAAGAAGCAACTGAGGTGACCGCCAACAGAGGTGTTCGGAAGGACCAGAATGTGGACATCAGCGACTGACCTTCCAGCGAGGATCTAGGCGTCATGTTCGACATAATATATCCTTGTTATAGCACCGTACGGATTCTCGAAGATTATCTCATGAACAAGAACACGGTTTAGCAAAAAAGAACAAAATAAACAACGTTAGACGGCAACACACTAAACCCTAAACCCTAAACCGTATGCCGTATACTCCTGAGTGGGATAGCCTGCCGGTGCCCCTGCAACGCCGGAGGATGCTTCCTGCCAGTCTTTCGCAGACAAAGCGCTTTACGAATTTGTGGTAACCCTCAGAGTTTTTGCGGCTTTGGGTTCACAACCTCGAGTTTTGAGGGCTTTTGGGTTTCGGGTTGCGGGTTTAGGGTGTAGGTGGTGGCCGGCCCCAAACAAGAAGGACACCCCCGAAATTGTGGATTGGGGTCCAGCGTTTTAGTGTTTGGTTGGGAAAGTATAAACTCTAAATCGCTGTTCCTTGTTGATGGGTTTATGTACCCATTACAATGTAAAATGTTGCTTAACTATGGCCAGGCCAAGACTACACGAAGAAACCACAGCGCCTCGGAGACGACCGGCACGAAACTGGAGCGCTGCTCTTGAGACTCGCCTTAGCTGAGTGCCCAGAGACTCCATATCACCCGAAAGATGGGATATACGCTCACAGACTCATATGCCGGAGATCATAATAAGCAGTACTCTAAATCTCATGTGCCCGGGCTTCTGGGCTTAGGAAAGTCTTGTGGTTCTAAAATTACAGTAAGATGTAGGTCTTCTTTCAGATAGGGTTGGCCAGAGGGCCGGACCTTTATCATAACCCTAAACCGACACCCTAAATCCTAACCCCCTGAACCGGCCCCTGGCCATACCAGCCTAGACCTGGAACGCCAAACATAATCAGACCTTCATGCAGAGCTGCAGAAGTGAAACCACAATATACTGTAGTGTATTCTAACATACTATCAAAAACTATCTTATAGGGTCATATCATGCATACTACAGTACATATCATGCAAAACACTGTACTACTTTACTAAGAATACAAGCCTGGTCACGCAGCTTCTCGGCAAAACGGTGGCGGTCGATGAACCTTCAGTCTGGTAGATCAGGAGTACCCTTAAGGCTCCATGTACCTATGTAAGGGGTTCCTTGAAGCATTCCTTAAAGGGTTCTTTTGGGAATTCTAAGGGGGTTCCTTTAAGGATTGCTTAAAGGGTTCCGTTGGGGGTTCTATTTGGTTTACGATTTAAGGCTCCCTGAACCTACATAGTCCATAGTGAGGCATGAAAGTACCTACATCGGAACCCCTTCAATGCCTAAGAAAGCCTAAGTACATACTATGTGCGTCCATGGAGCCCTTGGGCGTTGTAGCGCTGTAGATTGCAAGAATCCAACATTTCCAAAGGTCGCTTGTGGGTCTGATGAACCCAGAGACTCCAATATCCCTTAATATTAAGGATTATTCCTTAAATCAGATTAAGGATCCTACTATAATTTAGGGAATATTCCTTGAATCATATTAAGGATCCTGCTATAATTTCAGGTATATTCCTTAATTAAGGGATATTGGAGTCTGTGGGAATAAACCCGCTTTTCCTTAAAGGCCTTCGTAGGAGGATCCCGATCATCATCGCTTTGAAGGTGCCCAGAGAGCCCAATACCCAAAATCAAGGACTATACATCAAATCAGAACAGCGAGGTTCCCATAATTTCAACATATTTCGTATGCTAGGGTTCTTAGGTTGTTTTTTATCTGAGGGTTTAGGGTTTGGGGTTCACGGGGTATTGTTGCCCCTTGGGGTCAGAGGTCTAGATTACACGAGTGCAAAGCCCCGAAGAGACGCAACTTAAGCAGAGCAGATGCAGACTCGATTGGTGTTTAGGGTTTATGGTATAGGGTTTAGAGTTTGAGGTTTAGGAGTTTAGGGTTTAGGGTTTAGGGTTCATGGGATGTAGCATGGTTTCATGTTTTAGGGGTTTCGGGTTTTGGGGGTTTTGGCAGTCTCATGCGCTGGGGGCTTAAGTATGCTTCGGTCTTGAATGGAATAGGGCCCGAGATGTGGGCTCTTGATACCCCTTAATTAAGGAGCTAGCCTCAAATTAACAGGGGCTTCATACGGTTGTTGATAGAAATCCTGCATCTAAACTATGGGAATTAAAGGCATATTCCATATTATGGGTAATGCAGGATTCATACCATCAACCGTATCGTGATGTAAAACATAGCGTCCGTGTTGAACGCTGAGCTGCAACAACGCCGAAGCCGCCGCAATGCTGACTCCGGCCTCGGCAACCAGGGCTTACGGCTTAGTTAAGGACTTTGCTGATCGTTTAGCTATACCGGGTTGATGGTGCAATGTAACTAGTTTTACGATTTGGAGACAGGATCCCCCAGCCTAAAGCAGAGACATGCGACAAAGTGCGTGCATGCGTGCGTGCGTATGTGTCTGTCTGACTGTGTGTTCTTGTGCGGGCTGTTTGCATATATGTATGTACATATGTGTGCATGAAAGAGAGAGGGGGGGGGCCTAGCAGCGCTGCACCATAATGTATACGTCTGTATGCCTGCTGCCTGCATGGATGATGTAGGCAAGTAGATAGGTTGGTAGGAAGCTCGGTGGGTCGATGGTTGGGTGGGTGTGTGGCTGGGTGGGTAGGTAGGTCAATAGGAGGGTATATATGTGTGCGTATGTAACATGTGTAACAGATTGTATGTATGAGCATCTGTATATGTGCGTACATGTTTGCGAATTGGGGCTGAGGGCTGTAAGGCACCGAGGCTCCTGTGCTCAGGGTTTTAGAGTGTGTGGTTTTCGGGTCTCATTTGGATGGCTTCGGGTTTAAACCCTGAATCCTCAACCTCAAGACTCAAGCCCGAAGTCACAAAACACTTAGACTATCTTGATATCCGAAGATGTGGGAAAAGATCAGGTTCGGAAGTGCTTGCGTGGCCTTATTGCACGAAATCGAAGATGGCTGTAGGGTATGCTACTTGCACGAAAAATCCATGAAGGTGGTAGAAGACTACAGTAGAAGCCCAAAAGTTGGAAACCCGATAGCCTCAATCCTTAAGAGTAGTGTATAAGGAATCCCAGCACTATTTGGCCTTAACCGGGTTTCCAACTTTATGGGGCTTACTGTATTCTTAACAGTTGCTGAGGCTTCAATTACAAGTGCTTCGGGCGATGACTGCATGCCGAAGCCCGGTCCCGTGCGATCCTGAAGCGCGGAACCCTGAAACTCCCTGAGGTTGGGGGCCTAACCCTAAACCCTAAACGATATCAACCCTAAACCCAAAACCCACCATAAACCCTAACCCTAAACCATACTGCAACCCTAAACCCCTAACCCCAAACCCTATTGTAATCCTAAACTCTAAACCCTAAATCCTAACCCTAAATCCTGAATCCTAAACTCGGGGGGCCTCTATGCCGAAGTAGGTGGTGGGAGAGAAGGCCAATGCGCCAGCCTTCTGAAAGTGGTTCCTTGCAAGGAGGGTCTGCCTACCTCGTTATCTGAGAAATACCATCGAATTAGCACCATACTGGCTGGACTGACTTAGGGTAGCTTTGGTTCTCTTCCGGATTTCCTCAAGGGCTCGAGAATGCAGGAGAGCTTCACTTACTGCTTGAAACATGTAGTGTGCAGCCTCTATACTTTTTCACACATGGGGTATCTATGAATCTATAAATATGTCGACGATGCCCAATTCCAGTCGGGGAGGTTTAGGCCAACACGCAAAAATAGGTTGCTCTTCAAACATGGATGTGGGGTTTGGGGTGAAGAGGCCGCTTCTGTGGTTTCAGGGTTTAGGTGTAGGGACTTTAGGATATGGGCTCAAAGGTCGTGGCATAGAGTTGAAATAGGGGACCCTAGTATAGTACCCTACGTAGTAGGATCCCTATTACAAGGACTCCAAAATAAGGTATCCCTAATTTTTGGAAACTCCCAAATAAACACATGCTTTGCATCATGATACACGCTTACAAACACGAGCACTGATCACCAGGAGTAGCGAATGAGCAACAGTCGGCCGCACCCGATGCAACTAGGTCATAAAGATATTCGCCATGTCCTCATCTCACAAACCCACCCAAACATATCCAATCCGAAGTCTTGGTAAGAATGCCCACTTGAAGACCACGCACAAGTTTCGAACACAGGATGAGCTTTCCCTGAAGTACACCCCATCGCGATCGAGTCCCAGGTGCTGCACCAATCCAAGCCTCAGTGACTCATGTTCGCTATGTTTGCAAGATCATGATGAGATCGTCATGGTCCGCATGACAATACATTAGCAGTGCTTACGAACATACTTGATCCGACTGGGGATGGTGTTTCGGGTTTGCGGCGAGGTGTGTGCCGCACTTGTTGTTCACCGTCTGTCTACTCTTGCCCTAAACGCTTTAAACCCTAAACACTCGAATCCCTAAACACTTGAATCCCTAAACCCATATGAAGCCGAGATGCACTCCGGCAACCGAGCCGCTGAGTCCTTCGCCGACGGCCAAGGCGGTGGTGAAACGCCTAAGATTAGGTGAGGAGCCATGGCGTTTATGCGTTTCTGGTATGCTGAATAAGGGGCTTATCAAACTGCTTGTGGCACTCTGTACGATTTCATTAGGTGTTAAGATGTACAGTGATCCTTATAAGGATCCGATCAAGTGGGGTCTATATTAGGGTTTCTCTTCCTCTGAATCTGTGATATGTATGTGTATACAGCTATGTATAACTATATATATATATATATGTATGGCTTCGGTTCTGTGCGATGGCTTCGGTCTAAACATGTATGGATGATAATCCACGTTCTGGCTTGGGTTGAGCATCATCTAGTCCATGCTTCAGGGCTCCGGGTTTAGAGGTTTGGGGCTTGGGTTTGACGTTTCGGGCATGCATTGAGGCTCACGGGCACAGATAACAAGGGTTGGATTCAGGGCAGCTGCATATCCTGCATATGGATATACGTAGTTATGCATGCATACGTGTATGTAAATAAATATATATATATATATATATACACACACATACATACATACATATACACATAGGTAGATAGACATGCACGCTGACGTTGGCCAGCTGTCACAGCTATCCTCAGCCCAAATTAAGAAACTACAAAATAGATAGCAGATAGCCTTACCTAAGCCTGTCCATAAACCTTCATAGCCCTGAACCCTAACCCCAGGGTTCAGGGTTGCGGGGCTTAGCCTTAGCGCTTTCTCATACAGCTGAAGTAAGGAATGTTTCTCAAACTGTTGCGAGGCCCTGAGCTCTCTTGGAAACGGGTTAACGTTGACCTCACCAAAGGGTCCGTGAGGGTTTAGGGTCTTAGGGTTTACGGTTTGGCAGGACATACTAGTATGGTTTGGGCAAGTACATGTGGGTACCTAGGACTCCTTGGGCTTAAACTCAGACTTCTAAAAGCCTGCTTGACAACCCTGAAACTGAAAACCTCAACCTTCAGAACCCTGAAGCTTTAACCTCTACAAAACAGCCTCCAAACTCAAGAACCGAAAACATCCCAAACCCTTTGAAGCATCAACTTCCTAAGCCCTCGAACTCACGAATTAATACCCTATAGAACCCTAACTTCTACAACCCGAAACCCCCCAACCCTCCCAAACCTGGCCTTGGGAACGTGGCTGCAAGCGGATAGAAGACCAACGAGCTACCACAGTTCGCGAGGCCTTCTCCGGGCTCAGAAGTTCTATCCCTAGGGTTCCCTTTAAAGGGCTCCTTTTAAAGGGGTCTATAGGGGCTACCATAAGGGATCTATAAGGGTACTTCAATGTCGGGGGACTTAGTAACTGGTTAGTTTAGGGACTTATAAGTACCATAACCCCAATTAGGGTCCCTTTTAGGGTACTTATAAGTCTACTTACTACCTACTTACTAAGTCCCCCGAGCCTCCAAGTAAGGCTTTAGGGGTTTAGGGAACAGACCATGAACTTTCGGGGCCTTATCTCACAAGGAATGAGGAATGTACCAGTACCATGAGCTATAGGGGCCTACATTATGGTCCACAAGTAGATTACCTAATGAAGGGGTATTGTTGTAGCATCCTTAAGGGAGGGGGGTCCAAGGGGGGTATATAGCCTAGTGATCACTAATCCTCCCTAGTACTCCCTAAGGTTCCCTTACAGTCCCCAAAGGATTCCTTATACCCTCCCCCCTTGAACCACCCTCCCCTAAGGATCCTATAATATTGGGCTCTCAGGGATCGTCACGGCTCGTCAAAAATCACGAGAATGATGCAAGTAAGAAGAAAGTAGCAAAGAACTCCCTGCTAAATGCACTGGTACTAATATTCCAACTAACACTATGAAGAATGATTACAATCTTAATGATCGGAATGCTGGAACATAAACACAACAAGTACTAGGACTCATGGTTACCCTAAACCCTAAACCGACATTGGCCCTACATCAGCAGCATGTCTTCCCTGAGGCCGAGGTTATGAGACGTCTCAGCCTGGAAATTTTGGAAACAGACACATGATGACATAGACTGAGCTGGTTCAGGGTTCGGCTCTATGGTTCGACTCTTGTGGCTCAGGGACACTTGATGTGAAGGCAAGGCTCGAAATCAACTGTTCAGGCTTCGGGCTGGGGCTGTAGGGTTTAGGGTTTGGTGTGGGGTGGGTTTAGGGTTTTAAAGGGTTGAATCAACCCTGGGACCAAGACCCTTTCAACTCGTAGATTGTTCCCCCAAGCCCTAGATCCATGCAGCACTCAACCCTGCTGTAGAAGCCTGAATAGTTACTAAGACTGTTCCCTTATTGGATCCCCTACATAACGAGTGCACCCTGGCACGCCCCAAAACTCCATTCCAGCAGGATAACACCGTCAAGCGTCTTGACCTTCCTTGGAGGCCAAGCTCCCTCTCTCCCTCCCTCCTTCCCTCCCTCCCTCCCTCCCTCCCTCCCTCCCTCTCCTCTCTCTCTCTCTCTGTCTCTCTCTCTCTCTCTCTCTCTCTCTCTCTCTCTCTCTCTCTCTCTCTCTCTCTCTTCTCTTCTCTCTTCTCTTTTCTCTCTTCTCTCTTCTCTCTCTTGTCTCTCTTCTCTCTCTATATATGTATAGAGGTCCTTGTATGGTCTACGCCCTCGGGCTGACGGCTGTCGGCCTCCAAGGAAGGTCAAGGCCAAGAGCCCCAAGCTCCGCTCGGCTCCTCGGATCATCGGAGGCTCCAAAGCTTTAGGGTTTAGGGCTTTAGGGCTTTAGGGTTTAGGGTTTAAACCCCCTTCATTAACCCTAAGGGTCCTAAATACCTATGTAGTAGAATGTAGGGTTTCTATATTTTAGGAACTACTTCTATGGTTGGGTAAGTACTCCCCATATGGATACTTAGGACCCTTTGGGTAAGGATTAGAAGATTATACGGCTCCTTACAGGGGATGTTTAAAGGGATCTATAAGGTCTCTATCTGGAGCATTCTGACGCCATGATTCGCCGAAACCTCTAAGCCCCAAACCCTAAAGCCTAAACCCCTAACATAAACCCTCAACTCTACAATAAGGGTTTAGGGTTTAGGGGTTTAGGGTTTAGGGTTTAGGGTTTAGGGTTTAGGGTTTAGGGGTTTAGGGTTTAGGGTTTAGGGTTTAGGGTTTAATAACCCCCGGACGCTAGATCAGCTAAAGGCGCCGAACAGCACGGCCACATGTCGGTAGCCACCAAGAGACAGGCCAAAGCAGCTGCCTCTCAAGGTCTCACGTCTCAAAGACCTTACAGTAGAAGCCAGAAAGTTGGAACACCATTATCCTCATGCCCTTAAAGTAAATTATAAGGGATCCGAGCACTATTCCTCCTAAAGCCTTGTTGCAACTTTCTGGCTTCTACTATACCTAGGAATAAGGTTTCTTTAACTTGTTGATTTAAGGGTGTTATAGATGTTCTGCCGGGTAGGTATTATCTAGGGCTCCCTTCGAAGACCCTTATTTAGGGGCATTCAGAATGAGAATGGGGTTCCATGAGGGCTCTACGTAAGTAGATATCATCGTGAAAGCGTACAAGGACTATGTCGGCAAGCGGATGCCCATCGTCAAACTGAGCAGAAATGAACCGCCATTAACCGCATAATCCTGAACCCTAAGCCCTGAACCCAACACCCTGATCCGCTTATGGTAAACCTCAAAGGGATCCCTCAGAGGGATCCCCTAAAGCATCCTCCAGAGATCCCTCTTGAAACCTTGCGGCCCTAGATCCTGGAACTTGAACCATTTCACCCTAAGCCCACACACATATTCCCTCCAGCCGAAACCGCTAAAACTAGCCCGAAGTCCGGATTCTAAACCCCTTCCGAGCTTCACGACACTAATTGCTGTGTTACGGCTTGTTTAGCAGGATCCTTCCTGTAGCGAACCCCTGCACAAGGTACCGATAAACCCCTAATCGAGCCAATATAGCACTCAACAATCACGAAGCCCCCACACCTCCCATAAAACCATGAAGTGCAAAACCTATGGTAGCCTAAACCCTAAACCCAAAACCGCATGGAACTCTTGGCCCGATTGAACCCTTGTAATGTGCCCGAAGCACGAAGCCTGGAACTTCCACTAAACGCTTAAAGTAAAAGCCAGAAAGTTGGAATATGATTATCCTAACCATTCTATGGTAAATTATTAAGTATCCTACCCTGAAACCATATTCCAACTTTCTGGAGTTCCCTGTAACCCGAAACCTTTTCCCGAACCCCTGCCTGAACCCCAAATACCTCTCTCGGGAACCAGATAAGGACGTCACAATAATGAGCCCTTAGCAAAGCGAACAAAACATAGGTTTCTGATTCAAAGTCAGGTAAACCACAAAACTCTAAAAGGCAAACCCAAAACCCTAACTCTCTAAACCCTAAACCCCATCCCCTGAACCCTAAACCCTTGAAATCCCAAATCCTTAGCCCCCTATACACGACTTGGAGGTTCATGGGAAGTGATAAGTGGGGTCATACGTTCCCTAATATGGGTTATAAGTATAGTTGCCCTACTTCTTTCTCTGCTTATAACTACCCATGAACCCCCAAGTAGGCTGAAAGAAGGCTCGCTTTGCCACGATCTCGCCTATGGCCAGGATAAGCGACGCTGCAGAGGCAGCCGTCCAGCTGAGGCGCATCTTTCGAAGCAAGGGCCGCCTCAAGTTCACTTGCTTTTAGGGTTTGGGGTCAGGGGTTTTAGGGTTTAGGGTTTAGGGTTTGGGGTTTTGGGGTTTTGGGGTTTAGGGTTCGGGGTTTTAGGGTTTAGGGTTTGGGGTTTTAGGGTTTAGGGTTTGCGGTTTTAGGGTTTTGGATTTAGGGTTTTAAGGTTTTAGGGTTTAGGGTTTTAGGGTTATAGGGTTTGGGGGTTTAGATGGGTTTAGGGTCTGGGGATTTAGGGCTTTAGGGACGCTTTATTCGCGGCGTTTGAGGTTTGAAGGCTCAGGGATTATGAGGGTTTAGGGGTTTGTTGCTTGGAGTCATTTTCGTTTAGGGTTTAGGCTGGCTTGTGGATTGGGGTTTGAGGCTATATCGGCTATATCCGTATGTATGCATATGCCTATGTGTGTATATGTGTAATGTATTGAGATACCACTGTATGATGAATACGACGCAGGGTGCAAGCAACTGGGGTGAAGGCTTCAGGGTTCTGCAGCAAAGCCCGTTGAACCGTTTCTGAAGCCTCTCTGCTGCGCGGCTATGCACATCGGTAGTTCTCAAAATGAGGGTCCCTTTTTGGATCCTTTTTACAAGCATGCCGTACTGGTTTGGGGACCTAAAAGGGACCCGAATTTAAAGAACTAGATACCCACATGGACCTTCCAGCTTGAACTTTAAGAGGTTCACTGGCTTTGGTTTTGTAACGAGCCGTGATGATGGTGCTGGTTTTGATGCAATGAAGCAAAATGATCGCCATCTTCACTGCCAGCACCAGCACCAGCAACATCATCAGGATGATGCTGATGATGAGCTTACTCTCGTCTCGTTCAAGCTACAACAGACTGTAGCAGAAGGATGCTCATCTGTACGACGTACGATGAAGAAGTAATGTTGCTCTCATCAACTTTGATCACCTCGAAGTCAAAACACGACACTTGTCAACCCTTCGCCCATTTCGGGTCCGCGCATCGGAGCTTTCGGTCCCAGCGGCACAGCAAACAGCACTACGAGGTTCGCGGCTTGAAGCGCCAGCACGATCCTCATCGGCATCCCCACGCCCCAAAACCCCTAAACAGGAGACTCGCAACTCTAAACCCTAAGGCCGCAAGCCTCCCCCGACTCCGCATAATTTCTGACATCAAACCCCACACAGAGAGTTTGGGGTTTAGAGAACAGCCTACTCTAAAAAGCCGTGTAATAAAGGGGCCCTAATTGATAGCTCGGGCCCCATTTCAACTCGAGACTCCAAAAAGCAGAAACTCCATGAACCCCCAATGCATCTGAGAAACGGATTCAGGCATGAAGGGATGGGGGGGGGGGGGGGGCTAGGATTGTGGTCCTTGCTAAAGGAGCTTTGGGGATTGGGTTTAGGTGTTAGAGTTTAGGGTTTGCCTTCGGGGCGTAGTGCCTAGCAGTTTACGGTGTGCTTGAAGGCTCTTGGGTACTTGTAAGTGGGGTTATAAGTGCCCCAACATGGGTTATAGCTACCCTACTTATAACCCCACTTATAACTACCCAGGAACCTCCAAGTAGAGGCTCTGGGATATAGGGTTTGGCATCTGCTGCAGGGGCTATCGGAATAGAAAGCTCCTACGACGTAACCAAAGGAATGCGGATTTTTTGCATTTGAAGAATAGGGTCATGTCTTTAAGCCAATCCTGGACTCTGAACCCCGGAAACCAAACCCTGAACACCAAAGCCCTCCTACCCTCTTACCTTTAGCCGCGAAAATCTGATCGCTACACACAAACTTTCGATTCATGTAGATGTCCGAACAATTAGCCCCAGTAAAGCAGCGTAATCCTGACATATGTGTATATGTATAGGTATAGGTATATGTGTATGCATGTGCTTGTGCATGTGCATGTGCATATGGATATGCATATGTAAATGTATGTTACTGCATATCATACGTATAAGTGTATGAATGTGTATGTACATGTACGTACATACCTACTTACGCCATTATATCCCTGTTGTAATTCATGTGTGTATTGGCCCGTTTGGCCAAAGGTGCCAGGTGGTCAGAGCCCAGCGCTCCGGCTGCAGAGAAACCAGGAACGACGACTCAACGAAAACCTCTGGGCTTTGGATCTAAGTCCTGCGGACCCTACGGTTTAGGGGTGAGGGGTTTAGGGTTCCTACTCCAAGCTCTCAGTTTTGTTCAAAGTGCATCGGACTTCTCGACCATCCGCAAGCTCTGGGCTTATAGGCTTAGGCTTTAGGGCTTGCTTACCATAGCCGACCTACCTTTTGGATTGAGGGTTAGGGTGAAGGCTTACGGTGCAAGTGAAACTCGGGTTCGAAACCCCTGAGGGTCCATGTACTCATATAGTATAGACATTGGCCTTAAAGTACTCCCCATGTAGGCACATTGGGCCCAAAGTATATACTATTTGGGTACATGGACCCTTAGGGAACCGCTTCTCGGCTCTTCTCGCCTCTTCGGTTTGGGGGAGGCTGAGTCCCTCTCTCTCTGACGTCAACCGCGGCAATGTTGCAAGTAGCGCCCAGGAGATAGCTCTCTATACCCTGAAAAACCCTAAACCGGGTTCAGAGTTTAGGACCTGCAGCGCTGCTGGGCTTAAGGACAGCAGTATTATTATGTTACAATGAAGCCCTACCTCCCTTTACATTGAGTGGTTGTCAAAATTCAGGTCCCCTTTTTGGGTACCCTAATACTAGGTGCCGTATTATAATAAGGACCCAAAACGGACCCAAATATTGACCACCACCCTTTACATGGGTCTTGGTGCTAAACTGATGCACAGTCAGAGCCGCAGCATTGATCGACGACCAGCTTCCCAAGCCGAAAATCACAAAAGCCGCCTCGTGTTCTTTGGCTTAGGGTTTAGGGTTTTAAAGTGCAGGGGTTTAAGGTTTAGGGTTTTAGGGGGTTTAGGGTTTAGGTGTTAAGGGTATAGGGTTCTTTGTTTGCGGGTTTCGGAAGGTTGTCTTTTTTGAGCTCCTTTTCTACGGTGCCCGAGGGTCCGCGAGGCTTAGGGAAGGTCTAGTTCGCAAGGCTTTGGGACTTGAGGTTTAGTTAAAGGTGCGGGTTCCGCAGGGATCCAGCGCTTCAGGGCGTTTCGGGACAATCTAGAATGTCAGAAGGAGCCCACAAGAGAGAGACCCTGGCAAGGCTGCTTGCAAAGGAGTGGCGTGACGACCAGACTCGTGGTCACTTAGCCGCCACCCACACTCATGTAAGAAATCAGTGGAGCAGGCAGGATCACAGAGACGGTGCAACCCTAGTTCATGGTTGGGATCGGATTAAGCACGTACATTTTTATTCCGTACTTGGTTTAAGTGCCCATAAGCATGTAAAATGTTAACAAGCTATGACACAGAACTGGCCTCCGAAAAGACTGTAATTGGAGGGTTGGGGGACTTACTCAGTAGGTAGTAAGTAGACTTACAAGTATCCTAAAAGGGACCCTAATTGGGGTTATGGTACTTATAATAAGTCCCTAAAATAACCAGTTACTAAGTCCCCCGACCCTCCAGGTAGTCACCAGTCCGCAGCACCCACGGCAAACCCGCAAACCGAAAAGCTTTACGACACGAAGTCCTCAACACTCCTACTCGGAGGCTCATGGGAAGTTATAAGTAGGGTGATACGTCCCCTCATACGGGTTATAGTTATAAGTATAGTTACCATTCGTATAACTCCACTTTTTACTACCCCAACAAATTCAAGTAACCACACTGGCCCAGAAACTGCAAACCTCCTGAATGGAGCGTCTTGGGCTTGCCCTAAGCCCTATGCCCTAAATTCCTAAACCATACCTTCCCTAAATGATCATTAACCCCTGTCCTGAACCCTACCTGAACCCCGAAGAACCTACTTTTCTAAGGACCTATATAAAGAAATCATAATGGGGAAACCTAGAAAAGGTAGGTTGTTCAGGGTTAAAGTAAGTCTATACCCCCGAAGCCTTCAACACCCCAAAGCCAGAAGCTGGAAGCTGAGGGTCTACACTATAGAGCCCGAAGGCCTTACACCGAACACTGTCTTCTGCTTCCCCCAAAATGTCTAGAATCTCGACCCTTCGCTGACAACTACATAACCCCTGCACCCGAACACCTCAAAAAACAAACGCCTTCACGGAGTAAAACTTCAAGAACCCCAAACTAAATCCCCTGCACCTTGAACCTTAAGCCGCAAATGCTGCAAACCTCTAACTGTCTTCCATTCTTTCCTCAATCCCTGGCACCCTTACCTTAAGCCTCAACTCTTCCCTTTCAATCTCACGGCACATACACCGCAGCGCCCTCGCGCTGAAGCGCCGACCGCGATTCCGGGTCCGCAGCCACACTCAGGGCACTGGTCCCTAGAGGGGAGGCCATGGCTGCAAAAAGGTTCTCAGGTTTTTGTTTGAGCTCCTTTTTCTAAGGTTCTCAGGTTTAGGGTTTAGACTTTTTTTTCTGTTGAGCTCCTTTTTCCCAGATGCAGCTATCAGCAACTTGCAAGGGTTTAGAATTCAAGGTTTAGGGTTTAGAGAAGGTTCCAAAGTACTCGTATGGTCGAAAGTAAGGCTTCTTTATAAGTATTTGCTCATTGCTATGCTGGTTTGGTTCAGTAGCACGTGTCACTTAGAAGCTGCCCCCACCCGGTAATAGTGACTATAAGGATTATAGTAGGGCCCAGTTATATTCCTATTATACCACTATTACAGGGTGGGGGCAGCTTCTAACGTATCACGCTAAACCCTAAACCCTAAAGGCCCTAAAACCTAAAGGCCCTAAACCCTAAACCCTAAAGGCCTTAAACCCTAAAGGCCCTAAACCCCCCAGAAAGGTGCTTAGGAGCCTCTGGGCTGGGCCATGGGACTTCAGGGTTTACAGAGATTGGGGTTCCCGGAGACTCCAATGCCCTTCAGGTAAAAGCCAGAAAGTTGGAATATGATTATTATCCTAACCCTTCTATGGTAAATTATATGGTATCCTACCATGAAACCATATTCCAACTTTCTGGAGTTCCCTGTCATTAAGGAACATTTCCCAAAGGGTCCACGTATCTGGTATATACTTATGGGGTATTTTGGGGGTCTAAGTATATACCATAATCATACTTGGACCCTTTGTGTTCCTTAAATTGAGAAGAGATCCGTAATATGAACTGAGGTATATTGTTTAATAGGGTATTGGAGTCTTTGGGTTACTGCTGCCTGTAACGCTGGGAGATCATGCTTTAAGCTTCAGCGCTGAGCGCGACTTGTTCTTGAGACCATACAAGCAACTAGTACACAAGGCCAGTGGCCTATGTCGAGCCCGAGCATAATGGATTCGGACGATGGCAGTTGGGGTCCTATAGGTTTTAGGACTGAGCCTAACTGTTCAGGGCTTCTTTGGGGTTTACGAGATCTTTGGACTTTGATGTTCAGGACGCTGGGGTTCAGGAGACAGCAGACAGGGTTTGCAGTTTTGGAGGTTAGGGCTGTTGGATATCGGAGTTAGATTTTAGGAGGCTTACTAGGAAGGTGTACTCTGATTGGCATGCCTGTGGAAGCGGAAACCTTTCAGAATTAGGATGGGTCCCGCAATGCCGAAGGTCTAGGAGCTATTGGACTTCACCGATAGGGCTACTTCAGTCTCTTCAATTCTTCGATCTAGGAAGCTACTGCAGCTACTGCTTGGGCCCCAGAAGTAGGTAGAATAATGGCCGTTTATGGCTGTTGGGCTCTTATTTTGAGGGATTTTACTTACTTTGGAGGATTTAGGTTAGACTGAGTCTAAGCCCCACCGAGACCCCTCGGAGTGAAGGAGCAGACCCCAATATCGAATGCTTACGAGGATACTGCGGGGAGACGAGCCAGATCCCGCGGATGAGCCGAATCGTGACCGGGGTTTGTAAGGTTTAGGGTTGAGGGCGTAGGGGTTTTACCCTAGGGCTTAGGGTATAGGGTTTAGGGTTCTGGAGAAAAAAACCACACTTCAGCCTTTGGCAAAAGGTTCGAGTCAGGCTTTGGGGTTAGGAGTTGAAGCACTATAGGCTTTGGGACTGGGCCGAAAGCTCCAAACCCTAAACCCTGAAGCCCTGCAGGAGCTCAATGGCTTTTCTCGTCCGCTGCACTTGCTGACCGCAAATCGCACCACGCCCAAGCTCAGTCCTGCAACCACGGCTTTTGATGCTGGGCTAGGTTGATGAGTGGCCCCGTAGGGGTACCCTTTTAACTACTACTTAGTTTCAATATGGGAGTTTCCGAAAATTAGGGGTATTTTCGGAAACCCCTATATGGGAACCCCAAAAGAAAAAGGGCAAAAATGGCTACCACGAAGGATCCTGGGTCTGAAGATCTCGCTGGGCGTTCTGGGTCTATCAGGGGGTTCTGGGGTTGGTTTAGGGCTTAGGGGTTTAGGGTTTAGGGTTCGGAGTTTGAAGCTTTGGGTTTCGGGCTTGGGGGGTATGAGAAATGCAGCACAGCGATGGTGCACTGAAAGAATGCTATGATTGCTCTTAGTGAACACGGTGTTGTCATCAATCTTCACCATCACCGCCCTCATCGCCATCATCCTGACAACTGCTGCTGCGGTGGCTCGACTTCCTTACTTTGGGAGCGGGGTTTGTCTTGTGAATTTAGGTTGATACAGGTTTGCTGATCCCCTTGAGGGGGCCGGAGCGTCTACGAGATCGGGCGGTTGGAAGAATCGTGATTTCATTTCAGGCCTCGAACCCTCAAACTTCTTCGCAAGTACTTTGTGTTTAGGGCTTTAGGGTTCCGGCGCCTTCCCTATCTGCCATGTCCCATATCAACCAAACCCCTTAGATTCCGTGACCGCGAACATTAAACTCCCTATACCCTAACCCCAAAAATTACCCGAAACCCTGCACTCAAGATCCCTAGCTTACCTTTAGTTAGTAGGGAATGGAAGAAGGGTAGTAACAGTAGTTATAATTGTACCCCATTCATCCATTCCCTACTAACCAAAGGTAAGCTACTTGGAGGGCCGGGGGACTTAGTAACTGGCTATTTTCGGGACTTATAAGTACCATAACCCCAATGAAGGTCCCTTTCAGGGTACTTATAAGTCTACTTACTACCTACTTAGTACTCCCTGAACCCTAAACCCTACAGTACTCAATATGGAGCCCCTTAAAGGAACCCTTATTAAATCCCCGTTGAAGGAGCACCTACTTACTAAGTCCCTCGACCCTCCAAGTAGGCCCTAACCCCTAAACCCAAAATCCTACATGGGTACAGATCCTAGAACCCTAAACCCTAAACCGTTTACAAGACTCCTTAACCCCCTCGGAACTCTGAGCCCTTGAATCCCAGCCAGTCCCCCGACCCTCCAAGTAGAACCCAAGATGGAGTAAGACACCCTTGTCCTTTTAGAAACAATAGACAGAGCCCTATGCCCATATCCCTTAGTAGGAATTATTTAAAAAGGTCTACTAGCCGGTCTGTTTATTCTTTTGGGGGGGACCATGAAAAAGGACAAGGCTGGTGAGTAAGATCCGGTCCTCCTTAACTCCGTGGGAGCTGACGTAGATACCATCCAAGAACTTTCGGATATCCTTCTTCTTGCACAAGCAAGACCTTCCAGGCTCAGCCGGAACTCTAGGGGTTTTAGAGTTTGGGGGCTTAGGGCTTATAGGGGTTTAGGATTGAGACTTTCATCGTTGGGGTGAGGGGTTTCGGGTTTAGGCTTTGCAGTAGGCGTTTAGGGCTTAGGGGTGTAGGATAGAGACCTTCATAGTTAGAGCAGGGTATTTAGGGTATATGATACTAAAACTATAATAAGGAAGCCCCAAACTAGTATTCGTTGGTATTTAGGCCCCTGCATGAAACCCTGAATCCTAGAATCTCTTTAAACTCTACACCCCCGGAAGCTGAAAACCGAGTAGCTGATGGATGAGAGCGGACGACTGTCCCGTGAGCTCGATGTCCGCGCCAGAGACGACAAGCTCGTCCTCTTGGGATCTCGGTGTTTGCTTTGAGAAGGTCTAGCTGACTTACGGATTTGGGAGTTTCCGAAAATCAGGGGATACCTTATTTGGGGGTCCTTATAATAAGGATCCTACTATGTAGAGCACTATATTAGGGTCCCCAATTTTCGGAAACTCCCACTATTGAGCTAAATTCTAAGCAAGCAGTCTTTTCTTCCGGCCGCGCATGGCATCAAGCCATTTTCTGCAGATGCCCTGGTTGAAATCTGCACGGCCCAACCCTCTGTGCTGGACACTTCTCAGGTCAGAGGCTCGGGCTGTGTTTAAACACTTGCAGCAGAGATGAGGGTAAGGCCTCACAAATGCACAACTTCCCTTGATTCATCTTGGCCATGTCGCGCAAGAGCAAAGCCAACACTTGTGCGCTCCCAGTCGTAGACTGTGTAGTACTTCCGCAACCTTGGCACGAGAAAACACAAGGCCTGCTACACATCTCTGGTACGAAATACCCCAAGACCCCATCGCGTATTGTATATGACTGATCCCTTGTTAGTCGGTGTCTTCACATTAGCACTTCTATCATACTGATCTTGCCTGAGGGTCAAAACGTTACGGGACCCACAATCATAATTCGTGTGAGTGGAAGGAGCTTCGAAATCAAGGGTCTTGACCAAGCGTAAATACCTAACCCTAAACCCTAAGCCCTAAAGCTTGAACTCCGAAACCTTAACCCCCCGCAGTGTGAAACCTTCTGAGCCCTAATCCCTACCTAAATCCCCAAGGTAGGTAAAATAGTGGCCCGACACCTATAAAAGGCAATTATGTTATGTACTTTTGCTGTCCGGGTTAACCCTCTAAAAAAACTACAAGCCAAGCTCGAAACATCCGAAAAGATGTTTTAGCAGGAGGCATCGGCTCGCCGAGAATGAACGCCTTCAGGGCTTGCTGTTTGAGGGCCCTAGGGCTTTGATCTAGGGGTTTACGGCTCTGGTGTTCAGGGGTTTAGGGGTTTTAAGGTTTAGGATTCTCACAAGGGGTACTTTAAAAGTAACTATACTTTCGGGGTTAAGGGTTTGGGGGTTTAGGCGCTTGGGGCTTCATGTGTGAAGTTTAGGGTTGAGGGCCGGGGGAGTTCGAACACCTCAAAACCCTGCACACCCTCATCTCCCGAAGCCCTATCCGAAGCCCTTTTTACCATGTTCCGCAACCTTTTAACCGCTCCAAACCCTAAGCCATGATCCCAGAAGCCCCCCAAACCTCGAAACCTCCCCAAACTCCCCAATCCGAATCAAAGCAACCTGCAGCTGCCACAAGCCAGAATCCCCTAGCGTCTCATTTAGGGTTTAGGGTTTAGGGTTTAGGGTTTAGGGTACATACATCCTTCAGAAAGAGTCCATAGAGACTCTATCCCGCAAATGCAATTTCTACGAGACACAGATCCTATACTCTAACCCCGAGAACCCTCAACCCTCAGCCGAAACCTCAAAACCCAAAGGCACCCTGACCCTCAACCGCCAAAGCTAGAAGCGCGAAGCCCGATAAACCCTCTCGCACGGCCCGCTTAAATGCCAAGCGAACCGCCCTTGTCCTTGTGATCTCACCCTAAACCCTAAACCTTATACCCTAAACTGACCCCTTAAATGCTAAGCCCTGGTCCTGAACCCTATTTCATGTGAGGCGTTTACAAGACTCCTTACTTGGAGGGTCGGGGGACTTCGAAACTGGTTATTTGAGGGACTTATACGTACCATAACCCCAATTAGGGTCCCTTTTCAGGGTACTTATAAGGCTACTTTCTACCCACTTACTAATCCCTGAACCCTAAACCCTAAACCCTATAGTACTCTTATGGAGCCCTTTAAGGGAACCCTTAGAATCCCCGTTAAAGGAGCACCTACTTACTTAGTCCCTCGACCCTCCCAGTAGGCCCTAAACCCTAAACCTAATATCCTACACCGTATAGAACTCTAAACCCTAAACCGTTTACAAGACTCCTTAACCCCCTCGGAACTCTGAGCCCTTGAATCCCAGCCTTAGCTCCCAGGGAAGGTGTTGGATCCACCGGCAGAAGCCTTGAAAGCCAGGTTGGCCCGTGGGGGTATGAGACGGCGGTAACGTTTAGGAAATATTTTGGCATACGGACATATACTGCAGCAGGCATGCTTCGACAGGATATCATTGGTAACTATTCAAGCCCCTATGCCTATGCTGCACGCCGGTGATTGAGAGATTAGGCTCTCGACTCTGGACAGTTTGAAGTGTTGGGTTTATATAGGCTTCTACGATGGCCGTGTTCGAGGGAACGCTACTGCATCCTAAGTCGTAAACTCCACAAACCCTGGGATCCATTACCCAACATTCTATACCCTCTTCCCTGAAGCTATCTAAGCCGCATAGTAGCACAGTCATGCTACGATACTACAAGTATCAGTACCATACCACTATACAGATGCTATTACCGTACCACGATAAGACTATGTTGGGAGGTAGGATTAAGGGGACCCTTGGGGATAAAGACACTCTTAACAAGGTCCCTTTTAAGAGCGCCAGAAGTAGGGTTCAGAAGGGGTGCCCTTTAAGGGGTCTCTCAAATAATCCTACCCATAGATATAGTTCCCTAAATAGTAGGATCCTTATTACAAGGACCCCAAAAGAAGGTACCCCTAATTTCCGACAACTCCCATCTGATGGTCTTTGAAAGCTGCACTTTCTCGAGCCGAGAAACGATGCTCTGCAGACAATCTGGAGCTGAGCCTCGACAGGACGATGGCTTTTTGGGTTTAGGGGTTACCTGAACCCCAAATAACCTACCTTTTAAGAAATTCTATAAAGAAATCATATTAGGAAACCCTAGAAAGGTAGGTTATTTGGGATTCAGGTAGGGCCTAGGATCTATACGATTTAGGATTTTGGGTTTCGGGTCAGGATTTCGGGTTTGCGCCTTTCGGGTTTTGGCCGGCGTGCGGCCTTTAGGGCTTTAGGCTTTATAGGGTTTAGGTTGGAGTCGTTAGGATTTAGTGTTTAGGGTTGGGGGGTCCTAGTGCCTAACGTCGCTGAATTGCGGACTACTCTGCAAAACCTTCCATACCTAGCAACCCTGCGCAATCCGAGATTCTAACTAAGGAAGACATGAACACATGAACAACTCTAGGTTAACAAGGCATGCGCAAAAGAATTGTTTTTTAATCCACATTCGACAATGTACACCACCTACACTATTGTAGTTACCTTCTGTGAGGCCCCAACACCCAAGCTTCTATATTGATCAACGCAGTCGTTGAAACTACTGGTAGTTTTCTCGGGTCAAGATTTGCAGTTTATACAAAAAACCTTGTAAGACCCTTATACGGCACCTGCAATAATAAGCCCCTGACAGAGAAGAACACCATCCCCAAACCTTTCCCTAAACCCTAAACCCTAAAAGCTAGACCCTAAAAACTAAACCCTAAACCCTAAAAACTAAACCCTAAACCCTAAAAACTAAACCCTAAACCCTAAAAGCTAAACCCTAAACCCTAAAAGCTAAACCCTAAACCCTAAAATCTAAACCCTAAACCCTAAAATCTAAACCCTAAACCCTAAAAAAAAAACTAAATCCTAAACCCTATGAAAAGGAACTCCGCGACCGCTCCCAAGACTACCGAAAGGCCCCAAAGTAGTTCCTTTTGGGGGCTTCATATCCAGACCTAAGAGTAACCTAGGAATAGAAAGGGTGCCCTTTTTGGGTTAAAGGGGCTTATAAGGGAACCTGAACCCTAAAAAAGGGAATAAGGGCCTACTCTAGGTCCTAGTCCTTTTGGGGCTTCATATTTACTAGCTTGGCCCCTTAAAGCCTCTGAAAAATATTCGTAAGTAGGGTCCTATTAAGCCCAATAAGGGAAAATATAAAATGTCCCAAAGGCCTACCTAGTTTAGAATTTTATAAGGTAACCCCAAAAAGGAGCTACTTTGGGGCCTTAGGGTAGACCCCTAACCCTGAACCCTAAGCCTCCGCCCCAACATCCCGAACCCCTAACTTCAAAGCCTAATCTTCAAACCCTAAACCCCCTGAACACGAAGCCGCCTGCGCGTTTGGCACCTTCATGGGCGCCGGGCGAGAATACTCCCTGCCTCCGAGCCTCTCGAAGTTTCGCAGGGTTTTAGTCACAAGGACATTACCCTAGGGTTTTGGGGTGTAGGGGTTGAAGGTTTAGGGTTTAGGCTTGTGTCTTTTTTTAATGGTGTTAGGGGGGATACAGTACTTCCCTAAATCATAATAGTGACTCCTTATACAGAAACCCTACAGTCCAGATGAAAACAAGGAGGTAGGTTAGTAGTATGATGAGAAAAGGAGCCGTCAGGAACAGAAGCAAAAAACATAAACCTTCTGGCCCCGATAATAAACGAGCAAACTGCCGACATGGAACGATACGCGGTTGAAGCTGACCCGTTCACATAGGGGCCCCAACATCTACACAAAGGGCCCTTAGTACCTGTATGGTAGAAATGTAGGGTTTCTATAGTCGGATCTACTTTTCTGATTTGGGGAAGTCTCGCCCCCTAACAGTACCCAGGACCCGTTGGGTAGGGTTCCCATGTGGGCTGTTCTCTTCACAGGCGCGTAGAATACATAGCTCTTGAATACTGCACGGGAATACCATGACGACTAGTACTTGGAGGGTCGGGGGACTTAGTAAGTAGGTAGTAACTAGACTTATAAGTACCCTAAAAGGGACCCTGATTGGGGTTATGGTACTTATAAGTCCCGAAAATAACCAGTTACTAAGTCCCCCGACCCTCCAAGTAGGATTGCCCAACCCTGACCCAGCTGCCTGACTTCCACACCGCCCTCGAGCTCAAAGAGGATATCGGGTCCCGGAAAGTCGCGACAGTCCAAATCCTGTGTTTAGGGCTTTACGGCTTTGAGGCTCATAACCCTAAACCCTACACCCTAAACCCCAAACCCCTGAACCCTAAACACCAAAGGCTTAAAACTTTAGTTGCTTGTCCAGGAGCATCCTGAAGGGGTGTATGTTGAGTTTGAA